AGCCCAGGTGCTGCCCGGCCCAGGCCATCAGGATGGAGGGGCCTGGGGGTCGGTGGGTGGCCGAGTCCGCGGGGGTGAGCCAGGCCTCTGCAGGGGGGGTGCTGGGAGGGGCAGTGCCTCACTTCACCGCTCAGCCCCCGCGCACACACCCCCGGCCCTTCCCCCCCAAAGGGCGGAGGCACCAAGGACGCTCCAGGGTTCCTAGCCCCCGCCTTCGGGTGTCCTGGCCCCAGGGGCAGGTGCACAGGCTGGGCACACCTCTGCCCCTGGGGCTCCCCAGGGGCACCCCACTGGCCAGGGCAGAGCAGGGACCACATTTAGAAAGGCTTGCTGGGCCCAGCGCTGTGTGGGCGGGTGTGCAGGGACCTGTCTTCACGTTGCACTTGGTCACCATTGTTTGCCCCTGCCTCTCCGCCCCGCCCCCACCACACATCTGAGGGACTTTGGCACCCACCTGCTGCGTGCATTTAATTTTTACCCAAGTGCTTGTTAAGTTTTCTCTTTTGGTACCAGTTGTGACCTTTGGATGGGAAGGAGGTGGGTGGAGGTGTGTATCCTCGCTGTGCGCACGCCTGTCCTGCTGGGCTCATGCCTGTCCTGTGCACATGTCTGTCCTGCTGGGCACACGCCTGTCCTGCTGGGCCCAGAGCCGGAAGGAGCAGGAGGGTGTGCATGTGGGTGGACTTTGCAGTCAGGCCCAGGCTCTGCCTTGATGGGGTGCTGTGAGGACCTGGGAGAGGTGTTGACCTGTTCATGGGACAGCGCTGGCTGGCCAGGCTGTGAATGGGCCGGAGACAGACAGGGTTTCGGGCCTGACCCATGTGACTCCTCCCTCCTCTCCTCAGCGCACAGGCCACTAACCCACTGCCACCACCCTCTTACCGCCCACCCCAGCCGTCACCCTCAGCTCTGTGGGTGGGCCGGGCAGGCCCTCAAGGGGAGCCCTCAAACCCCTGCCTCCCCACCTGCCTGGGCCTCCTCCTGCTTGCCAGGCCCACAGCCTGACCAAGGACCACCCGCTTCCTCCCAGCCCCAAGCCAGGTCCACCCCGGATGCCCACCTTTGTGGCCTATCTTACTGCTGCTTACCCCTGCCTGCCACACTGCTCCAGCTGAAGCGAACGCTGTGCCAGACCACCCCCAGCTCCCCGGCTCCATCAGCAGGTGCTGG